TGGATCTGTTGCCCTTTTTTCGTTTCTTTTCTTTTAATTAAAAGATCATTTTATTGGGGGTTCTTACAACTCTTATTACAATCCATACATCAGTTGTATCAGGCGTATTTGTTCCCTTTGTTTGTGTGTGTCTTTATTTTGTTCTCCTTTGCTTTTTAGTTGTTAATTCCACGGTGTTGGGAGTTAGCTTTTCAACTGTGTCTGCTCACTCATCATATTAATTTTGAGGACATCCAGGACAAACAGTATCTGTGATTAGTATTCTGTGCATAAATCAAGGGAAAAATAGCTATTTCCAAATAGACAAATGCTGAGTACAGTTATTTTAAGAGATTCCCTCAAGTCAATGAAGTTGTAGTCTCTTAACATACATGTTATATTGTGTATATTTTAATCTTTATTATGCTACGGCTGCCCTGTAAATACCAATGACTGATTGCATCCCAACTGGAATCAATTATATCTTTAAAACAAAAAGGAAGAGGTATTAAGTCATTATGCCTGGTTATGAATGTTTGTTTTGTTGTTGTTGTTTTTTAAGAAAACCACATCTTCCTTGCAGCCTTTTTATTTGTAGATGTTGTTTTGTTTTTCTTTTACAGTCTAACAGTCTATTTTCTGTTTTGAAGTTGGTGATATACGCGGGGCCTAACACAAACAGTAGGAAGGTTGCTGAGTACGGCGGCAACACACTGGGATATGGCAGCCGTAGTGTCTTAGGAACTGGCTGGCCGAAGGACTTGGTGAAGGTATGGTATCCACTCATAATCATTTCCTAGAAAGGACAGTTGAGCTCTTAGCACTCGTCACAGGCCCAAGAATACCTTACACATCAGGGAGAGCACAGTGTGCCAGGGAGGCTTTTGTTGAGCGGGAACCTCTAAGCCCACCGCTTACATTCAGGAGGACCCTCCTTCCCCTGGTCGGGCAACAGAGCCAGACTCTTCCTCCCTGCCGATGGACAGGCCGATGGGTTTCGGCCGCTTTCTTCTAGTCTAGACTGCCTGACGGCTGGGAGCCTAGAATCCCAGGGCCATGGAAGTTTCCTAAGGCTGAAGTCATTCCAAAGGACTCTGGGCCTGGGGAGCAGTTAGGAAACGGATGGGATTTGAGCTGTGCTTCATGACAGAGGCCCCTGGCACTGCTCCATCCTCGCTGGAGAACGGATGTGAACCGAAGTGCCCATCAGCGTCCGAGAACTACTCCAAAGGGCGTTCTCTGAACCTTGATTTTGTGTGCTTCCTGGGTCCTCTTACACTGCCTGCAGGGGAGTAGCCAAATCCCGACCGAGGGGCCCTGCACTCGTGGGGCTGGTGATGCAGCTGGCACTTGGTCAGTGCTGGTCAAGAGGACTGGCTGTTTGCCGGCACTGTTGACCCCGTGAGCTGAGAAGAAGAGCGAGGGCGGCAGCAGGCATGGCAGTCAGGGCGGGGTTTATTGGCGCGTATGCACAAAACCCAAACAAAACGCACAACACTGAGTCAATTCCGACGCTTAGCCACCTGACGGGACATACAGAACTGCCCCTGCAGGTGTCTGAGACTGTCACTTTTGACGAGGATAGAAGGCCTCGTCTTCTGAGATTAGCAGTCCCGTGTGTCACCCACTCTGCCCCCCCCCCCCCCCCCCCCCCCCCCCCCCGGGGCTCCTTAGGCACAAGGTGTGGTGACTCCACATCACTCCCGCCATTGAGCACCTGTGGCCCTCGTGCCGAAGGCGCCCCTGGTCAGGAGAGACATCCCAAAGGTTGGTGCCCACATTGAGGGGATGGTACCTGGCTTTGCCCAGAGACTGCGGGAAGGAGTGAAAGGTTGCTGTGTTCCTTTTGCAAGTGAATCACTGAAAGTCATTGCTCTCTTAAAAACTGCCTCTTTTTAAAGTGCATTTCTCCCCCTCCCCCCTTAAATTTGAAGGTGGAAGGAGATACAGTCACCTTCTCCTTTGAAATGAGAAGTGGCCGTGAACACAACACGCCTGATAAAGCTATGTGGGGCTTTGCTTGCACGGTCCGCGCTCAGGTACTTGACCCTAACCAACCACACCGCTGTGGGCATGGTGTGCTCTCCTCTCTGGGCCTTGCTTACACATATCACGTTTGCCCCGGAAACGGGGCCAAATAGGAGCCACTCTTTCATTCATCTCTTGCATTTGGCAGTGCTCAGCCATTCTGTTTCTTTCCATGGAGTAAGCCCTAGCTATGGCCCCAAACCCACTGAGCAACACAGAAATTATCCATCAGTGGGGGCTCGGCCTTCTCAACCTGGATAGGTGACTGACTCCGGCATCTTTCCATAGGGTGAAAAGACTGAACGCTTACTAGAAGGAAGCGCTCAGATTCCGGGCTTGAGGAGTAGCAGGAGTTCTATGAACCCCTCTAATGGCCTGGTGGTGAAAACTGGAGGTGGCTTAAGTTTAAGCAAGCTCAGCGTAGCTCCAGTGGGATTAGCTATTAGGCTGTAAGTTCCGTGAGGGCAAGGGGCCTTTGTTTTCTCCTCTCAGGAATCTCAGGCACCTAGAGCAATGTCTGGCTCAATCACAAGGCACTCGCTACCTGTCTGCAGAATTCAGTGCCGGGATTGGCAGCGCCATGGTTTGAGTCCAGACCAGAGGTGACAAAATGAAGCTGATCTGTCCCTGCAGAGGCGCGTCAGAGAGGACGTTTCCCAGGGACTCTGGGCTGCCTGCATGTGGTTTTGCCCTTTCTAACACCGAGTCTTACTGGCCGTTCTCCTTCGAGAGTTTGACACCTCACACTGTGCTCATCACAGGGCCGCTGTGATGCGTTGGGTGCCCTACATGGGTGCTAGAGCCCTGACACTCGCTGGTGCTCCTCAAGGCCCCGTAGCTGGGGACAGCAGCCCCCTGACCAGCACGCTTTGCCCCTGTCTGCACTGTAGGAATCCTCAGAGGACGTCTCGGGAGGCCTGCCCTTTCTGGTGGACCTGGCGCTGGGTCTGTCCGTCCTCGCTTGTTCCATGTTAAGAATCCTGTACAATGGGCCAGAGATTACCAAAGAGGAGGAGGCCTGCCAGGAGCTCTTGCGCTCCAAACTCTTACAAAGGTACCCCTCAAGCTCGGGGGGAGGGGGCTCGTTTCCTCACAGCAGAGGAAAGGCCCTGGCGGTGGGAAAACGGTGTTTGAGCGCTTGCCAGCCGTAGTCCATGTGCCTAAGGAGGAGGATGCAAAGGGCCACCCAAGGGCCTTGTGGCCCTTCTTTTCCGGAATTTGAAACTGGACCCGGGAACGGCATACCCTTCCCCAACCCAGCTACTGAATGATCCCACAAAGGGCTGAGAGGGGGATAAAGTGGGTGTGGCCGCATGCTTATCCCAGCAGCAAGGTGGCCGTGTGTGGCGCTTCACCACCGCTCTCAGCTTTTCCGGGTGTACACACTGGGCTAATCAGCCGGTTTTCTGTGCTTCCAGAGACAGTTTGTTAAATCACGTATCCCATAATCTGATACGTCACGTCACATCAGATCCTCCAGCCTGACACAGCTCTCCCGTGAGCGGTTAGAAGAAATGACTGTGACTCGGTCCCTCTTCTCATTGTTCAGGTGCCAATGGCAGGTGGAGGCCAATGGAGTGATCTCCCCCGCCCTCACGCCAAGCCCCTCTCCACTGCCTCTGACCATCGAGGAGGACAGAGAGTTCACCTACCCTGCTGACGTCCTTGGCCCGCCCGTGGGAAACTATTTTGACCTGCCCCGGATCAGGCTGCCGCCAGGAATCATGATAAAGCTCAGGGAAATTTCTGGGCGTGCTCGACCTCAATTTAGACCAAGTATAAAGTATGTTGCTATGCGGGCCATTCTTAATCAAGCGAAGAGCGTGTCTTTCTCCGTGTGGTCTGTTGAGTAACCTGTAACGTGTTCACGCGATGAAGGCTAAGCGAGTACAGTGCTCTGGGGAGCCCGCCAAGTAGTATTCTGGGCCAGTGGTCCTCCCAGGGCCTTCCGCATCCCGCACCATGAGCATCACCTGGGAACAGGTTAGACGTGCAAACCTAGGGCTCTTTCCACACAAGGGGATGCCAAATACGATGTGTTTAGCGTGCTTGGAAAACACTGGAGCTGGACACGTTCTGGGTTTCGTGGGTCGTGTGATCTTCTACTAGTATCGGCCCTGCCTTTGGTTTCCATGGTCAGAGACCACTTCTTTGTGGGCGAAGCCTGGGGCGGGGGGGTGCTTTTTACAGCGAATGTGAAGTCTCGAAGTTACAGGTGGCTTTGTGGTCGTCTTGCTTCAAGTTTTCTTTAATCTCATCTACCTTCTAAGAGTGACCATCAGGGAGGGAACCTTTGAGAGGACAGATGAAATATAAAATGAAAGGATCCAGACACACCATCATTCTCAGCCGAACATGTACCAAGCACCACACCCCTTATGCCAAATCAACGAGTAGTTAAAAGATACTGTTGTTTTCAAGTCTTAGATTAAGTCTAATTCTGAGCATCAGCTAATTTACTAAGTGATTGTCCCTTAGATTTGAAAGCCATCATCCTATTGATGCCCCGCTCCCTGTACTCGGTGGTGAAGGATCCCATGTAGTGTCTTATAGCCTGTGACCCATAGTGTTGGTGGGCTGAGAGCAAGGTGGTCCTTTATCTGACAGATTCCCCTTGTGATCACAGGGAAGTGGTTCAGCCAGACGTGATGGAGGAGATGGTGGTATCGTGTGTCATTAAGCACTTGAACTTGGTGGATGCCCTGCAGTCCCTAATCAATTTCCAGTATCAAGAAGAACATGCCGAGGAGTACGATTTACTGTGTAAAATCATGGGCGAGACCTTTAAGAAACTCAATGCCATGGAGAGACAGCTGCAAGTGAGTCAGAACTGCCTTGCTTTCACCTCCGCTGACCACCACGCAACGTGTCTTTTCTGGAAATGTCATGAAACGCAAAGCAATGTGGTCTGAATTGTTTCTTTTTTCCTCAGCTGCCATTCTCACTAGAATCTCCTTTGCTCCCCAGCCCTCGTGTACTTATACGTTGTGGCTTATTTAGTTTAATGTTGACTTTCAATATGTATGTTTATATAATTCTTTAAAATATTGTCAGAGTGTTGCAGAATTGGAACAGAAGTGGCAAAGTGAGGTTGAGGAGGCCACGCAGGGGAAGCTGGAGAACAGCCTGGTCTTCTTCTACGATTACCACTTCAACGAGGTGAGCCCAGTGTGCTTCGTCACCAAGGCGCCCGCCCTTGGCAGCGTCCAAGT